CATACACACAATGCACCCCTTGCACACAGAAAAACACACAATGCATTATACACAAGCAATGCAACCGTTACACACAATGCATCCCTTACACACACAGAAACACACAATGCATTCATTACACACACTCAATGCACCCCTTACACACATTCAATGCATCCCGTACATACACAGAAACACACCTTCCAGCCCTTACACATACAAACACAATGTCACACAATGCATTCCTCACACACATATCAGGACATCCCCTACACACTCCACCCCCTGTGAACAAACTCATTGGTGGAACATGAAGGTGGACCCTGGGACCCAGACCTTGAGCTGTGTAAAGGACCCCCAAAAAATGGAGCTGCTTCCCGTTCTCCCAGAACATTGATTTTTGTGACCACAGTTACAAACCGCCTCCAGAGAGCCTGTTCTGCACCAGACCAGTGGAGCCAGACTGCAGCTAGAGCCCATCATCATCCTCATCTGGTTGTAAGTAGGCAATCTAGTATATTATTCGTGGCACTAAGCTCTAATTTACCTCACATTAAAGAAACCCTATAGTCCCCAGAACCACTTCAGCTTAATGTAGTGGTTCTGGTGTCTATAGCCTGTCCCTGCAGGCCTTTTAATGTAAACACGGCGGCACTGCAGCACTGGCGTTAGTTAACATGGCAAATCATATGGGTGGGGCATTGTGATGTCACATGGAGGGGCAGCAAACTTTACTTTTGCCTAGGGCGGCAAAAATCCTTGCACCGTTACTGGCTGGAGGGGGCTGTGTGAGCTGTGGCCGCACAGTGCCCCATGGTAGTTAGGAAAAGTGTATGTGTGACTGTCTGCCTGTGACTGTGTGTGACTGTCTGCCTGTAACTGAGTGTGTGACTGTCTGTCTGTAACTGAGTGTGTGACTGTCTGCCTGTAAATGTGCGTGTGGGGCTGCAGGGATTTTGGAGAAGGGGGCGGGGTTTTTGTATTCGGACAGGAGTCTTCATAAGGGGGGATAAGCAGGGGATTTGTGGAAGGGGGTTGCGGGGGTTTTGTAGACGGGGCAGTACAGGATTTGGAGAAGGGGCAGGACAGAGGTTTTGTAGGAGGGGCGGGGCAGGACAAGGGTTTTGTAGGAGGGGCTGACAGCGGTTTTGCAAAGTTTACAAATTGTAAAAAAAAAAGAAAGACATTTTTTTTTACAGGTTTTTTTTTTGGGTGGGGTGTGGGGTGTCAAGCACAGGATCCGCCCCAGGTGCCAAATGCTCTAGGTACGCCCCTGCATAGACTTTCAGTCATGTATACATAAGTTCCGGTGTGAACGGATATTGGAAAAAAGCTTTTAAAAAATAATTCACCAAATAATAAAATTACAGATAAGAAAACAGTCTCATAGACATTTTCCCAACATATAATATAATCCCTTATATTTATTGTTTTACTTTACCTTTGCATTTCCCATACCACCCTCACATTGCAGCCATAGACACAAACATACTAATATATGCACACATATAAACATAGAGACATAGAATGTGACGGCCGATAAAAACCATTCGGCCCATCTAGTCTGCCCAATTTTCTAAATACTTTTAATTGGTCCCTGGCCTTATCTTATAGTTAGGATAGCCTTATGCCTATCCCACGCATGCTTAAACTGCTTCACTGTGTTAACCTCTACCAGTTCAGCTGGAAGGCTACTCCATGCATCCACTACCCTCTCAGTAAAGTAATACTTCCTGATATTATTTTTAAACCTTTGCCCCTCTAATTTAAGACTATGTCCTCTTGTTGTGGTAGTTTAAAGATATACACACTCTGTTATTGTATATGTGTGTCTGTATATATATATTCATGTGTGTATATATATATATATATATATATATATATGCACGTACACACACATGCAGCATGTGTGTATGTGTGTAAACATATACATACATGCAGAATGTGTATATGTGTGCATGTATTAATGTGCCTGTGTCTATGGCTGCAACGTGAGGGTGGCATGGGCAATGCATAGGTAAAGTGACACAGAAAGAGGGAAGGTCAGTATGACAGGGTTGGGGGGTGAATGCGACATGGTTGGAGGAGAAAGTGTAACAGGGCTATTGGAGATAAGTGGGTTGGAGGGGTTAATGTGACATGGTGAGCATGGCATGGTTGGGGGTTGTATCACAGGGTTGGGATGAATGTTGCATGGCTGAAGGAGGGAGTGTGACATGGTAAGGGGAGGTGAGTGTGACAGGATTAAGGGCAGTGGTGTATCCTGGTTTTGTGCTGCCCTAGGCATGACAAAACTCAGGCGCCACCACCCAACCCTTCCCCCCTGCCCCGCCTTCTAAATACACACACATTCACTGACAGACACACATACACTAGCTAATAGACATACACACTCACTAACAGACACATACAGTCACTAGCAGACACACACATTCACTAACAGACACGCATACACTCTCACTGACACACACATAGTAACACACTCACTAATGCTAACAGACACACTCCCTGACATACACTCACTCACTCACACACACTAACAGACACACACCAACTAACAGACACACACACTAACAGACACACACTAACTTACTAACAGATCTCAGATGTGTGACTTATCATTTAAAAAAAAGGAATGCTTGAAAGTAAAGTGTATTTACATAATTAGCATTTTATAAGAAATCTTGCATTTCCTATACAGCCTATTTGCATGTAAAAATACCTAAGCCTTCGTAGGTTTGAAAGAAATTCTTTGAAATTAACTGTTATTTTCACTGTCATATTACATACCTTATATTTGCATGTTGTTATTTGATTACATAAATGTTTTGTTTATATATTTGTTTGTTTTGCTTTTTGATTTTGCAAGTATATTTTTATATGTTTTCCTTCCCAGTTTTATATAATACAAGGAAGAAAAATCCATGTACATCATCACGTCATATTAAATTATACTACACAAGAGGGAATTCCATTGAACCATCTCTCGTAGGTACATCAAGAGTAGAGGAGGATTCTGTGTGCTTTTAATTAAACTCTCGTTTACTGGTGTCTGAGGAATAGAACCTACCTCTCTCTTCTTTAAAGCTCATATTTATAGTATGAAGAACATAAAGCAAAATGTTCAAAAGGTCAAGTAGTCTACGACTAAGCAAAGCATTGTACATTCTGCTCTTAACTATAATCTCCCATTATCCTTAGTAGATAACTGAGCACAATATGGTATGTAGTTAAACAGCAATAATGATTTGATAAAATGAAACCATTTAATATTTAATGATTATAAACTCTATCTACATATGACAATAACAGATATTGGGTGGGAGGGAGGGATTTATCGTTCAAAACCAGGTGATATTTTGGGTGCAAATTGCTATATGTTGATGTACATTCTATTAGTTTCCATAGAGATTGCAATTTATTTGGCACTTTACTCCAGAATAGCACGTTTTGTCTTGATCAATTTTCCCTTAGTAAATCCTAGAGACGATCAGCGTAGAGGTACTATACTAAACGTGGGTATCATATAGTTTAAGGGGAACTGTTGCATCCACTAACCTTTGCTGCTATATTTACTCATATCTGTATTTGTGATGTGTAAAAAATAAAATTAAAGGGACACTATAGTCACCACAACCACTACACCATAATGTAGTTGTTCTGGTGTGTATAGTATGTCCCTGCAGTCTTAGCATTGTACATTTCTGAGAAAAGGCAGTGTTTACAAAGCTGCCTAGTAACACATCTAGAGACAGTCACTCAGACAACCACTAGAGGTGCTTCCTAATCCAGCACTGGCATTTATAGTCTTCATGCTCTGCATGGAGGCGCTGAACATACCCATGGCTGGTGCAAGAATTTTTGACTACAGAGACGAAGATGCATTTTGCTGCCCTCTTGTTCCACCACAAAAATACATCTTCACTTGTGTGTCCCTTAATCCCCCTCCTGAATTTCCTAACCCTTTTGAATGTCTTCCCCCCTTAAGTGTATCTTATTCCCTATTTTTTCCCTTTGTGTGTCTCTTACACACCCCCTTTGTGTGTCCTTTACTTCCCACCAGCCCCTTTGAGTCTTTTTCTCCCCCAGCTCCTTTTTTTTTTTGTCAATCTTTATTTTATTAAGGCACATATGGGGGTACAGAAGAGAGAAAGGGAAATGCATGAGTATTTCACAACGTAGATTGGTGTAACTAAACAATGTTATTTACATTTCCAGTTTTTTAATGCCTCATTTTTTGATTTTTGTTAGTCGCTTAACGTAAACGTGTATTAAATTAGGTTGCTACTGAACGAGTGAGACTTATTCACTGTAGGTGCTTCCCTTCGAGCATCTAGGTTGAGCTGTACCAGCTGGTACTAACATGTGATTACCAAACAGCATCAAGTGAAACGAATCAATCAAGCTCAGCAGAATTATGTTTAGCATTATTAATGTTTGTAGGGCAAACATACAGTCGATTTTTTGCGATGTATTCAATCTAACCACTAGTTTACTGTCTCGTGAGATTATGGTTTGCATATTCTATGCTATTGTGTCTAAGGGATGCATGCTATGGTAGTATGCAGCGTATATATGATGGGGCTAGTGGGTACCCTGCGCCTGCATGATACAAAATAGACATACGCTGACAGGTTAGGTTAACTTTTGGTTCAGGCGGCTCAGTACCTTTTGCTAACATAGTAAGTAGCCCATAAAGGGAAAGCAGGCTTATAGGTCTGCCGCTGTGTGTTGCCGCTAGCAAGACTAAGTATATAGTTAAGCTAAGTTACATGAGAGGTGGCATTTGTAGCACTAGGCGAGTATATAGTTACAGTAATGTGAGAGCGTCCCAGGTCCTGCTCGGCTGTCCCCTCGGGTGTATGGGTGGCGTGGGAGGGTTACCTCCAGGTGAACCCCCAGCTCGGAAGAAGTGTGCATGGCCCTGGTAACGGCGTGGTCTCCCCGTGCGGTGAGGTGCGTCGGGCGAATAGCCCAGGATTTGCACAGGAGTGTGCCCGGGCAGGCCCTTGCCTCTGCTCCTATTCGGCATATGGGTTTTGGTGCGGCCCGTGCTGTCTCCTCAGCGTCGTCTGTGGGTGCTTTGGATGTTGAGTAGAGTTCACCGTGTGGGTTTTGTGGTTTGCCAATGCTGTTGGCAGTTGCTGTCGCTTCGGCCCGTAGGCTCCACGTGTCTGCTGGCTGTGGCTCATCTTGTGTGTTGCTGGAGCTCGCGGTGGTGCCGGATCTGTGCGGGTGAGTGTCAGCTGCTGTGCAGGTGTGTTTGTGCCTGCCTGTTGCTCCCTGGATGCCAGCTTCGTCCAGAACCTGGCGAACAGCTCGTCTAGTTTAGCTTCGAGCACCGCATTCCTTGCGGGCCAGGTGCACGTGGTGGCAGCCATGTTGTCTCGCTTCATGTCGCTCCACTGCTCGCCAGGCTTCTCAGCTGGTGCAGTTGTGGGTAGGTTGCTTCTCCGCGTTGGACCAGGATAACCCCCGCTGGTCCTGGGGGGGGAGCAGGGCATCTGTGGGGCCGCGCCACCAGAGTCTGGGCGAGGAGAGCGGCCGCCTCTCCCCGTTCCCGTCCCCCGCAGGCCGCGGCTTTCCATTCTGGGTGTCCGATCTGTCGACCACTCAATAAGGGTTTCAGGTTTGCTGCAGGGTCGCCCCTGTTGTGGGTGGCTCATCCCGGATTCTTTAGTCTTCAATTTAGCGAGTCTTCAGCAAGAAATTGGCAAGTACGGCGGGAGCCCAGCTTTTCTGCGACTTCTCAGCTTGCTGGCTTGGCCCCGCCGCCCTACCCCAACTCCTTTGTGTGTCTCCTCTTCCCCAGCTTCTCTGTGTGTCTCTTCCCCTCTCCCAACCCTTTTGTGTGTCTCTTTCTTCCATTCCCCATTCCCTATGTGACTTTCTTCCCCTTTGCTCCTTTGATGTTCCTCTTTCTCTCCTTCCTCACCCCTCTGTCTCTTTCTGCCCCAAGCCTCTCTTCATGTCTCTTCTCCCCCAGCACCTTGATTCTTTATCACCCCAGCCCATTTGTGTTTCTTTGTTTTTTCCCAGCTCCTCTGGGTGTCTCTCCCAGCCCCTCTGTCTCTTTTTCTCTCCCAGCCCCTCTTTCTCTCCCTGCCCCTCTGTTTTTCTCTGTCTCCTCCTAGTCCCTCTGTGTCTCTTTGTCCCCTTCCAAGTCCAGCTGTCTCTTTTCCCCTTCCCCAGGCCCTCTGTGTCTTCCCCAGTCACTCTGTTTCTCTTTGTCATCCCCCAGCTGCACTGTGTATCTCTTTCTTCGCCATCCCCTTTTGTGTCTCTTTATCTCCCCTTCCCTACCCCTCTGTATGTTTCTTCCCTCCAGCACCTTGTCTAATTCTCCCCAAGTCCCTATGTGTTTCTTTGTCTCCCCCAACCCGTCTATGCATCTCCCCCCGAGCCCCTGCCTATCTCTTGTGGCCCTTCCCTAGGCCCTGTCTGTCTCTTTTGCTCCTTCTTCTGCCCCTGTGTCTCTTTGTCCCCCCAATCCCTACATTTGTCTCTTTGCCTTTCAAACCATTTTGTGTGTATCTTTCTCCCCTTCCCAGCCCCCCTGTGTCTCTTTGTTTCCCCTAAGCCTCTGTATGTCTCTTTTGCTTCTCTAACTTTTACCCAGTCTGACTCAAAGAAGATTGGCCTTCTCATTGTCCTTCCTGTCAGACCAGGTAGAGGATACAGAAAATCCTCTACCGCAGTCTGTGGCTCCGCCACACTATAATGACTGACTCACTGAAGGGGAGCGCTGTGCTTTACGCTCTTCTCCTGCCAGTCAAATGGATCTTGCAAACCCAGGGCCGTTGCACTTCAATACATATCTCTGAGGATATGTTGATTGGAGCAGTGCAGCATTTCCTGTGGAAACTATTTAATTGGCTGAGATCATCAAGACTGATGATCGCAGCCATGTAGGCAGGGCCAGTAACAGCGAGACCGGCGTGGGAGAAATAGTATGTTTTAGGCTTTTAATCTACATGGAGTGGAGGACTGGGAACCTAAACATGGATTCCAGCACTATAGTGTCAGGAATACACATTTGTATGGTGTTCCTTTAAATGTAGAAATCCATACCTTCATATAATACATCTGAATGCCTCCATCTTGCTTCCTGTCTATCATGAAGAAATTAAACAATGTTTCTGCCCTGACCTTGCCTTGCCTGAACTGAATTTTGCCGTAATTTGCCAAATCGTTTGTATGAATTTAAAATAAAATGGAGCATCTCATAAAAAAGATATAACACAAGTTATAATTTATTTCCTATGCTTTATTCAATGTTTTATTACAGACAGGGCCATCTATAATTTTAATAGGGCCCTGGGCAAAGCATTTTCTTGGGCCCCCTGGACCATTTACCCTCTCCTCCGCCCCACTTCCTGGCATCCAATCACACCTTTAAACTACTTACTTACACAGACATATACACTGACAGAAATACTGACACATACACACACAGACAGACATACAGACACACATATATTTACTGACAGACATACTGACATATTCACAGACACACATAGACATACTGACACACACACTGACAGACATACTGACACACACATGCACTGACACACACATATAAACTGACAGACATATTGACACACATTCAGACAGACAAACATACAGACATACTGGCAGACACATATACACACACACACACACTGACAGACATACTGACACACATACACGAATAAACTGAAAGACATACTGACACACACAGACACATAAACTGACAGGCATACTGACACATACACAGACACACATACTGACACACACTGACAGACATATTAGCACACATATATACTGACAGACATACTGACACACACACACAGACATAAACTGACAGACATACTGACACACACACACACACACATATACCAACAGACATACTGACATACGCACAGACATGCACTGACAGACATACTGACATACACATTGACTTACACATTCACAAACATACTGACACAGACATACTGACACAGACACTGACAGACATTCTGACACACACGCATACACTGACAGACATACTGACACACACAGATACACACATATACTGACAGACATACTGACACACACACAGACATTCACTGACAGACATACTGACAGATATTGACACACATACATACTGACACACACACAGACATACTGACACACACATAGACACACACTGACACACAAACTGACACACACACAGACACATACACTGAAAAACATACTGAAACACACAGACAAAGACACACACACTTTCACTGACAGACATAATGAAATACACACAGACATACACTGACAGACATACTGGCACACATACAGACATATTGACACACACAGACACACACATATACTGACACATTCACACAAAGGCTCTGTCTCAACCTCCTCACCCTCACAAAATCTTTCTGAAACATTCACATTGACTGTGTTGAAAGATTACTGAAATTCCAGCTCAGGTAAAAGATATCATAAGACAAAGTGCTGTAAGAGTACAGCACTGACATGGACTCCTGGCAGATCAATTGTCGGCTGTGGGGGACAGTTTTAAGTAAGAATACCTCACCTGCACTGAACACCAAGCGAAAATGTCACAATTTAAATACCTATTGGAGATGTACTGCAGAAGAAAGTACACAAAGTTATTCACTAAAGTGAGAAATCAAAGTAAAGTCAAAGTAAATTTCAAATTCAAGGTCAAAACAGTCGAACACTGGAAAAATGTCTCGAACTCGTCTATTTTTTCACTTTGGCTACACTGTCCTTAAATGTAAAATATTTTTTGAATTCACTTTAAATTCTTATTTTAGTAAATTACCCTTTCCATTGCCAATATCCATGTATCGCTACCCATACCTATCCTATCTACCATATACTACCTTCTTGTGTTTTGTTGATAATAGTTACTGTGAGATTAAATAGTTCAACAAGGTTAACTAGAATTCAATATGTGTTATGATGTTCATACTATGTATTGGCACTGTAAAACACATAGTTAATAAGAAGCGTTTAGTTTAATGTGTCTTTACTGTAGAATTGAGAAGATGAGACTATGACCACTAGATGGCAATATATGTGCGTTTGATCTAAAATATACATTTACCCCTTAATGATGGAGGCAATTGTCCAAGTTTTTGAAACAAAACCAAACTTACAATTTGAGCTAAATGTCTGTTCAACCATAATTTACCACTTTCATATGAAGTGCAATATATTATTATATATCGTTTAGTTCAGGAGAAACATGGCTTTCATTTCACTTCAAATACTTATATATGAAACATAATTTAATATGAATAAAATCTTGAAAAGTTTGAGAAATTAAGATATTTTGTTGTTTTCCAAGTTATGTGTGGCATTTTAATTGTAAATGTCATAATACTGTTAGCATTTACTACAATAACACACACATATTTGTATCCTGTGAAGTCCCACGAGTACAATGATGCCCCTAATGTACAGGTGTTATAGGGTTTTGGAAAGTTACCGGTTCAATAAAAGAGCTTGCCCATTTCAGTTTTTACACATTGAACTTTGTCATATTAGTTAATGAGCCCATGTTGCCTTTGAGACCATATGCCAGTTCAGAAATGAAAATGACCCCCATCATGGCATACCATATGCAAAGGTACACAACCCAGGGTATTCAAAATGGATATTTGCAATGTTAAGTCTTTTTAGTAGCCACTTAGTCACAAACCCTGGCCAAATTTAGGGTTCATATTTGCATTTTTTTACACAAAAACTGCATCATTATACATTTTACTGCTCTAAAACACTCATATTTGTGTTCAAAAATGTCTTATTTTCTCATGAGTACAACAACATCCCCCATGTACAGGCTGTCCATGTGTCTCATTCCCCCAGCCCCTCCATGTGTTTCACTACCTTCCCCCCAGCACCTCCATGTGTAACATCCTCCCACCCCTCAATGTGTCTCATTTCTCCCCAGTCCCTCCGTGTCTCATCCCACACACCCCTCCATGTGTCTCATTTCCCGCCCACCCCTTTTTTTTCTCATTCCCCCCTCCATATGTCTCATTGCCCTCCAGCCCCTCCATTTGTTTTATCCCCCCCACCCCTACATGTGTCTCATACCCCACCTCTCCATGTGTCTCATTCTCACCACCATGTGTCTCACCCCTCCATGTTTTTCATCCCCTCCCATCCTGTACCTGCTCACCACGGTACTCAGTCTTACAGAAAGGGCTCAGAAAGTTTAGATAATATATAATTTGTATATGTTCCATTAATTATAATTATGGGGATCTTCCTGACAACCAACACAGTCTCCCTGCAGCCAATGATGTAATCCAGCCATTCTCAGTCATGTGGTCAGTGGCATACTAATGGGGGGGGGGACTGGACCGCTCTGTGTGCCACCCACTAGAGGGGTGTCATGTCTGCC